CCTCGTCATGAAGGACAGCAGCACAAGCGTGGGGGCTGTTCTCTCTTAATTGCCGTGGGAACCAGGTACACCCCTCTTCCTCATGGCTACTGGGAAGCTCACTGGTTGAAAGTGAAGAAGACCCAAATCCTCAGAGCTGGGCCAGCTGGTAACATCCTGGTCAATGGATGGAAGGTGGGAGTCATGAATTTGGCCTTGCTCGGATCCACAGCCGGGAGCTCACAGACCCGTTACTCTCTTCAGAGTTGTTGGAAGAGGGTGGTTACTTTGAGGACTAAGGTGCACCTGACCCAAGCCCTGGCATCTCCAATACCTCATCCGCATGTGAAAGCTGGACTCTGGATGAGGAAGACTGAAGTCGTTGATGCATTGGAGGTATGGTGCTGGTGACGAACATTCACAGCGCCACAGACTGCCAAGAGAACAGGTGTGTCTAGGAAGAGGTACAGCCAGAATGTTCTCGCGTACTCAGGAGACCCGTGCCTGGGGAAGGACATCATGTGTGGTGAGGCCCTCGACCAGTGGACTGATGCGGCGCTGCAACAATGGGCACAAGCGCAGGAGCCCTTCCAAGGATGGCACAGGCCGGGCGGTGTCTTGTCTTACTGTTTTGTGCGGGGCCGCAGTGGGTTGTGGCACCACTTGGTGGCACCAGTGAAGAACAACAGCTGGGAGTCTCAGGAGTGTGCCCTGGGGCTGGTGATGGCTGGCCGTTAGGTACCACCCAGTTGGCTCTGACCTGCAGCGACCCAGGTGCGAGAGAACCAAATACAGCCCTGCCCTGGGCCACCCTCGCTACTCACTGCTGTCTGAGCCACTGTTGCAGCCACGTGCCGGCTTCTTCCCACTGAACCTCCACCATCCACTGCACCGAGCCTCACAAGATGCCTCACAGACCAGGATTCCCCGCTGCATAGCTTTGAAGTGCAGACCTGGGTGTCCGTGGGGCTGTGCTGTGTGGTACAGCCTTGGGTGGACCTGCTTGGTGACTCTCGGCACAGAGACTGCCTCACCTGGCACGCCCTGTGCCAGCAGGTGACCTGTGCCTCAGATCCCACTTGGCAGGGATCAGGTTTAGGATGCCCAACTCTGAGGGGCTGTGCCTCACTGAGGTCAGCCTTGGGGCCTCACCTGCACATGGCACCTTACAGAGCTGCCTGACACAGGCAGGGGGCCACCGTGGTGGGGGACGAAGCCTGGGCTCGACCTGGCCCTGCCGCTGCAGGGAGCGTGGGGTTGTGGACGCCCAGGTGTGTGGTCTGTGCTGCTGGTGCCTCTGTTGTCCATCCCTTGTTGCCTGCAGACAGAGCCGGACCCCAGACATCCCTCCTCTGCAGAGCGAAGAGTAGCCCACCGGGTCAGAGGGACCTGGTTGGGGGCCCACAGCCTTTGGGTCTGGGGTCAGATCACAACATCTCTGTGGCTGTCTGGGGCAGAGCCAGGCGCACCCGCCTTTTCTGCTTCACGTGGGTAATGCACAGGCACCATGTAGGCAATGCATATTTATTGAAAACTCTTGACTGACGACGGCGGTGAGATTGAGACCCCGAATTACAAAACATGATGGCAGGTGAGACTTAGAAAAATAAAGCGCAGGGCTGTGTTTCAGAGTTAGGTCCATGTCCTGCAGGGCTCTGCCGACCAGGCCTCTGGTCAGAAAGGAGAAGGCGGCCCCTGCAAGAAGGAGTGGGGGTGGGGATGGGGACATAGTAAAAAACCGCATTCCGGTGACCAAAAATAATAGCTTTGCTTCCAAATAGCACACGTCCCTAAAGTGACTTTTCCAACAATAAATAGGGCGAGCTCCGCAGCAAGCAGGCTCGGGGCGGACGGGCAGGTGCTCCGGCGCCGCAGTCCTCGCCCCGGCTTTGGTGCTGCTGTTGGGCACTCTCCTGAGGCTGAGGGTGGGGGGTGGGCAGGTGGGTGGGCTACCCTACAGAGAGCCTCCCAGGCGCTCAGACTGATGGGACCTTCGGGGGGTGCGCCTGCGGCACAAGCTGTGGCCGCTTCACCCTGGGCTTCCGCCGCTTGGGCCTGCCCTTGGCCTTGTTGATCTGCACCACGAAGAACGCCAGGACCACCATGGCGCCCAGGAAGGCGAAGACGGGGATGGTCTGGCCCACCTCCTGGTTGTAGCGGCCGGGCATGATGCCTGCAGGAGGGCAGCAGGTGAGCAGGCAGCCAGGGCACCGAGCCACAGACACCCACCTCCCGCCATGTGGGAGCAGGCACTCACCCCCAGGGATGTCCCAGGCGCCGCTCTCCCCCGGAGACAAGGGCCGCACTTGAGGGCGGTTGGATCTGAAGTTGGGCAATGCCACCTTGTCCAGGTCGATGGAGAGCAACTTCTGGTGCTTCCACAGGTTGCTGCAAGCAATGGAGGCAGACTTCATGAGAGGGGGCACTGGGGGTGGGGGTGGGGGGCAGAGGCCCCGTGAGAGGGAGCACGGGGATCCTGTGAGAGGGGACGTGGGTGCCAACAGAGCCGGATGAGGAACTCAAATCCATGGCCAAGCCCCACACCCAGCCCCCGGCCATGCAGCCAACAGACTCAGGGCCGCCCTCTAGGACATGGTTCTCGTAGCCTCATCATCCCCTGGGGAGCAGCTGGTGAGTCTAAACCTCCATTTTCAGTGACTTGAGCATTTTAACCACCAAGCCACCAGGGCACAAACAGCAGATGTCAAACCCAAACCCAAACCACAATTGCTGCCTGAGTCAACACCAACTCCAGGAGAGAGCTGGTCTGCAGCCACCTGCTGGCATCAGGGTGTGATGGACCAATGGACCGCCGTGGCACTGACATCATCTCCTATCAACCTGAGCAAAGGGTGGCGTCGGGTCTGTCAATCAGATCGCAGCTTGATGACCTCATTCAGAGGGGCCACGGAGGCCAGACCCACTCTCTCTACCTTCCCTTTCCTGCTGTTGAGATGCTCAGAGAGCTGGAGAAGACCCGTGGAGACCCCTGCCAGCGCTGAGATGCTTCCACTGCCACTGGATCCACAAGAACTTCTACCCACTGGCCTATGACATTCCTGCATTTGGCATCATTGTGTGTGCGGCGTTGAGTCTGAAGAGGACTTTATAGACTGGTATGAGACATACAGGCTAATATTGCATTTATGAACTTGATCTGGACTGGGCTGGGATGTTTTCTCAGTATACAATTACTCTTTGATATAAAGTTCCTTCCTGGATATATGTGAGTCTCCCTGAACTTGTTTCTCTAGTCTACCCGGACTAACACAAACACCTTGGTCGGACCAACCTGTTGGTCTTAGTGAACCGGAACTTAGTGTTGTTTTCTGGTCCACAGTTATGATGACCCCTCTCCCCTGCCAAGCAGAGGTCACCACATGCCCATGGGGGGAAGTAACCTCTGGCCAGGGCTTCCTGTCAGGTCCGTGTCCTCCAGGTACCCAGCAGCCGGGTGGGAACTCGTCACAGCCCCTTGGTGCCCTGGCTGTTTACCTGCCTGTAGCTTTGGCAGGAGTCCTCAGGCTCCTGTGGGGACCGTGTGGCTCTGAGGACAGATCGTGGTCACTGGTGACACCTGGCAAGCCACACCAAGGGGGCGTGGGATGGAGGAGTCCTGAGGGGCCTTGCAGATGGTGTGCCTGGGATGGCTCAAGTCGGTGAATCATGTGAGAGACCCAAGGTCTGTTAGCAGCTTTTCAGACTCCCGACACCCCTTGCGGAGAATAATTGAGTTTCTGGAGTATGCATGGCACCGCCTGTCCCTGGCATCGGAACTGCTGACCACGGCTGTCCGCCAGCCGGACAATGGGTTATAAATACCCGGGCTGTGGGAGTGACAGCTTCCCACAGATGCTGGATCATGGGGCGGTGGTGGGAGGGTGGCAAGCAGTAATGACCACGTTGGAACAAAGTGCTGCTGGCCCTCAGCACCATCTGTGTGCAGCCAGGGTCAAGGCCACGAGGGCAGCCACTGAGATCCAAGCTGAGTGGACAGTCTCAGGGCAGCCTGGTAGGGCCCTAACTTCCACTCTGCCCTCTGTAGTCACAGCACTGGCTCCCCGTGGGGATGCCCCATTCCCAAGCCATCAGGGTCCACTGTCCTGGGCTGCCCCGTCCCTAGGCTCCTCTCGCATCGGCCCCCGGAGCACTCACCTGGGTGCTGTCTCGTTCAGGGGCTGCGGCTTGGCCCAGGACAGGTGTGGGCAGGCGGGCAGCGCCCGGGGCTTTGGGTCCCCCAGGTGGGCCTCCAGGACCTTGGAGTAGCGGTGCAGGTGGTTTCCTGGCCAGAGGAGACAGGGTCACGGGGACTGGGAGGGTTTGTCGGCTCTCCCGGTGGCCGTCCTGTGAAGACCTTTCTCCCCTGGCCAAACTCCAGCTCGGCAGTCACAGCCCGTGCGGGCAGGAAGGATACCACCTGTGACGTCTGGGGCTGAAAACAACTTAAAGCCACGTGTGTGTCTGGCAGGCCTCTGTGGGTGGGGGAGTGGGGACAAGAGCACCCAGGCCATGGGGCAGCACGCCCTCCTCAGGCTGCTGAGGGCCTGTCCCCACAGAGCCAGCCTCCTGGGAGTCCGTGGCTGTCTGGGGCCTGCTCCCGAACGCTAACAAGCTGCTCTGCCCTGCGGCCCCTTCCTACATGGCCAAAGGAGGCTGTGACCGAGTCCCCGGAGCAGACCAGCCCTCGCCAGCGTCCATGCAACTGGCCAGGCCGCAGCCCTCCACCCCAGCCTCGTGTCCGGACAGCAGACAGTGGCCCTACTCACCTTCCATCCTCTCGGGGGTGATGGTGCCCACTCCACTGGGCGGGCGCTGCCGATTCCCCGAGTGGCTGAGGCTGGGAGGGGTCACCCCATACGAGGTGTACTGTAGGAGTGCATCCAGCAGCCAGAAGCAGTCTGTATGGGACGGAGCAAGTGTGCTGTCAGGGGCCTGCAGACAGGCGGGTGCAAGAGCCCCGAGGGACACGCGCAGCAGAGAGGCCCAGTCACAGCAGGGCCGCCCGCCTGGCGCAGCCACGGGATTGGCACCAGAAGGCTGGCCACGGGTGGGCCTGTGTCACTCCAGGGCCCTGCTCCAGGCAGCATCAAGGGAGCAGCATCAAGGCCATGGCACCCAGAGCTGGCCACACTACCCGAGCACCCAGGTTCTGGCCTGCTCAGGGACAGCATGACTGCCCCAAGGCCCCAGAGGAATGTGGCCCTGGGAACTGCCCTGCCTGAAGCCCTAGGCTGTCCTGTGGGGAGGACCTGGATTTCGTGTGAGACCTGGGGCTGTCATTCGCCTGTGGCTCTAGCCACCCAAGCCCGCACACCTGGGGCATTGCCTCAAGTCCAGCTGGGAGCCATGGAGACCAGCGCGCCCACTCCCAGGCTGCTGCAAGGGCAGGGCTCATGGATCATATGGGGCCCCCAGACGGCTGGCACCCAGACAGGTCTCCACAGCCTTCCTGCAGGCCGCCTGGGGGACAAGGCCGACTTCTCCCAAGAAACACACTTGATGGCTGGCACTCTCTAAGGGCACTGCAGTTACATGCCACCAGCCTCTCTAGCTGCCTCTGAAAGCTGGAGACGGGCCCCTCAGCGTCTTAATTTTAACAGACTCTTCCCGGTGACCTAGAGCCCTTAAAGAAAACCCTGAGCGAGAACTCGTTAATCTCCTCTGAGGCCCCTGCAGCCCTCACGCTCGATCCTGCAGGTCAGCCACATGGTGAGGGCTCACAGGTGGGGGGGGGGGAAGAGGAGGAGGGACAGGACAGAGGGGGAGAGAGATGGAGATGGAGGGAAAGGTGGGAGGAGGGGAAGAGGGAGGAAAAAGGGGAGGAGGAAAGGAGGAGGGAGGAGGGGGAGAGAGCTGGAGATGGCGGGAAGTGGGGAGGAGGGAGGGAGAGAGCTGGAGATGGAGGAGAACACAAAGGGAAAGGAGGTAAACAGGGAGGAGGAGGCGCTAAGGGAGGAGAGGGAAGGAGGAAACAGAGGCCGGGAGGGGGTGGAGGGTCCGGCCCTCTAGCCCAGGTCCAACCCCGAGGCCTGTCATCTGCCAATCCTGCAGGAACCACATCTTCCGTCCAGAGCTCTTGGCCCTGCTGACCAGGCATGAACCAGGGTAGTGTCTCTCTGAGCTCGGAAGCCCAGGTCAGCACTGTCTCAAGGGTAGGGTGGCAGCAGCTCCTGGTGCCCCACCCCCAGGGATAGAGGCCCTAATCTGGGAGGGGTGCTGCCGCCCCCGTGTGGCTGAGCTGCAGATGTGCACGCGGCCACAGGCTGAGGCCGATGGAGCAGCTGTTTGCTTCCTCAGTGTAGGGGACCCAGACGGCCAGTGGTGCTTGGTGCCTGGGTGAGGTCTGTCCCTGAGACAGACTTACCTTTCTGCCGGTGGCTGTCGTCCAGGCAGTTGGAGTCCCCGTAGAGCACGATGCGGCCACCATCCTCGGCAGGGACCTGATAGAGGCCCAGGATGGGGACGTTCTCCACCACCACCGTCTCCTGCTTTAGGACCTCCAGCCCTGCAGATGCGCGGGCCCGGCAGTGAGCACTGTGCCCACATTTAGTGCCACTGCTGACCCCTGGGCTCCCAGGACAGGCTTTTAGGGACCCTGGAATTAAACCTTGACCCCCGTTCTCCAAAGCAGTACACCGTGGCCCTGACACATGAGGAGAGCCCTGTGCTTGGGGGGACGGTGTGAGGGGGCGTGCACAGACCTGTGACAGACAAGCTAATCCCAGGAAGGATCCAGAGTCCACTGAGGATGGGGTGACATGGCCCTGTCCGGTCAGGTCCCCCTGGTGAGAGGATGACCCTTCGGGGCGGCCTGACCGGAGACTCCCAGCAGATTCTTGTCCCCAGGGCTGGGCGGACCAGTGAGGGACCCGGCTCCTCATGGAGCCACCGACACAAGACAGGCCCACACAAGGGAACTCAAGGGACCAGCTTGTGTGAGGGGCAGCTAACGGGCCTGCGGTTTCTCTCTCATGGGCTGGAGTGGAGGCTGCCCACAGCAAGGCCAATGACCACCGCACACTGGACCCTCGGACATGAGAGGGCCCCACTAATGGGCCGGTTACACCCGAGGTGTCATGGTGCAGAAGAGGCCAGAGGCTGTTTACCTTGGTCCTTGAACGTCTGTGTGATCACAATGCCGTCTTCTGGGAACTTGGCGATGCTGCAGCCGGAGGCGTAGTACACTGGGGACAAGAGACACGGAAACACACGCACACACATGGACGGACGGACACATACATACACACCAACACACAGACGGATGGATGGACGAATACACACTGATACAGACGGATGCATACACACACACCGACACACGGACGGATGGACGGACACAGACACACACACTCACACACGCGCGTGCGTGCATACGCGCTAAGCACCTCTGGCAGAGCCAACACCCCCCCCAAATGCTTTCTGCCCCAAGGATGGGGATCTGACAGTGGTCTTTGTCAGGGCGGCCACTGCAGGGGCATCCTTGGGACAAGCCCCCACCTCACAACCCAAGTGAAAATGAAAACCACCAAAAGGGCAGATGGTGGCTTCTGACTGGCCCCTCGGAGACCCAGGCCACCCCCAGTTGGGGACCAGTCCCTCAGAAACCCAGGCCACCCCCAATCTGGGACCAGCCCCTCGGAGACCCAGGCCACCCCCAGTCGGGGACCAGTCCCTCAGAAACCCAGGACACCCCCAGTCGGGGACCAGCCCCTCAGAGACTCGGGGCACCCCCAGTCGGGGACAGCCCCTCAGAAACCCAGGACACCCCCTATCAGGGGACCAGCCCCCTCGGATACCCAAGGCACCCCCAATCGGGGACCAGCCAATCAAAGACCCAGGACACCCCGTCAGGGGAACGTGACTGCGGAGCACAGAGGAGGACTTTATCATAGACACCAGCACGCCTGCGCTGAGCAGGTTTTACAGCTGGTGAACCTTACAGACGACTGATGTCTGGTCAACAGCCGAGAGAGCAGGGACTCTGTGACCTCGGGGGAAGGGAGCCCAGGTTGGCTTCCACAGACAGACACGCTCTTGCCCGGGGCTCATGCTGTCCTCCCTGATACGGAGCCGCCGCAGGGGTGTGAGGGCATCCGACGTGAGACTTACTGTCGTGGTTGGCGAGGGTGAAGTCCCCTTCATAGAGGCCGTCGCTGAAGGCCATGTTCCAGACGGACAGCAGCTCATTGAGAGCAGGGACGTTGGCGCCCCCCGTGTCTGGCATCCACCACTGCCTGAGGGCAAGAGCAGGCTGGCCTCAGCCCCAGGAGCCCGCACTGGAGAAAGCGACCAGAGGCTCAGGTGAGAGCCTCCCTCCGCAGTGCTGCCAGGTCTGAGACGACCCAGCATGAGCGAGAGCCCTTCCTCCTGTGCCCTGCAGACCAGTGGGAGGTGGCACCTTGTACTTCCTCCCTGTCCCGTGGAAAAGGCTCAGAGCCAGCAGAGCCACGTGCACAGCAAGTGAAGGTGCTTGTGATGAAGAATGTGTCCCTCCAAAGTCAGGGCAAATCCACACAACTCAGAGCAGCTTCAAGGCCACACCACCCTGCTCAGAGGCGGCAGCCAGCCTCACCCCTTAACGAGGCGTGGCTTTTCACCAAAGCCATGGCCAGGGAGTGGATTCCAAGTCCACACAGTGGAACGAAGTGCTCTGTGGGGGTTCCAGGACTGGGACCTTTACAGAAGCCCATGGCCTCGTCCTTGTAGGGGAGCTGCTGGTGGGTTGGAAGCACCAACCTCATGGTTGGCAGCAGGGCACTTGAACCACTGCGCCCCGGGGCTCCTGCGCTTTCCCTGGTCCACCCATCATCCCGTCTCCCACCCCATGCTCCCCAAATGGTGCATCACATCCACTCTGCCCAGGGACAGGCCCCCGTCAGCCGAGCCTGTGCCGTGTGGCTCTGTAGCCGGCGGGAAGCCTGCACTGAGGGGCCTACGCTGGACGCCTGCAGTCAGTCAGGGACTGCCTGTGACCATCCTGGAAACCCACTGTGCCCTGAGGGAGCAGGGGGCACAGACAGAAGGGGGCTCCAGCTCAAGTCCCAAGGCCAACAGACGGGGACCTCCAGGGAGGGCTGAGGACCCCCAGAACACTGTGTGCTCCCTTGACCACAGGCCTCTCAGGACCCATGCCAGGCATGGAGAGCGCCCCCCCGAGCTCCCCGATGACCTCGCAGGGAGCGCGCTCGCCGGGGAGGCAGGCACTGCCCGCATCAGGCTGCTGCCCCAACGCCCAGGCCCCGAACCTTGTGTTTTCGTCGTAGAATTTGACTTTCCTCATGACAGACGTGTTGTACCAGTCGCTGAAGACGACAAGGGAGAGGCCGTTGTCCACGTCCCTGCGCAGCTTCCCGATCTCCTCAGGGAAGTACTCCTCCTCGCTGTCCACCATCAGCAGCGTGCCTGCAGAGAGCCGTGTGGTCAGTCTGCACTGGGGCAGGGGGTCCGGGGACATGGGCCCACTACGAGGGGAGAGTCCTCACTTCCTTGGGAGGGGACAGCAGGCGCTGCGGGGGCTGTGCACGTCCTCCTTTCCAACTGTTTACTGTGGTTTCCACTCGAGTTGAGCCAAGGGGGGCAGGTGCTGCTTCAGGCTTAGAGGATGTTTAAGGGTCACAGTCTCAGGGTCCCCCCATTGGTCAGTCTCACACGCCTGGTCTGGAGGGCCATTGTCTGTCAGTCTCATGAGCCTGGTCTACTTCAGTGGCCCTGACAACCGCACTGCCCCGTGGGGATGGGCACAGTCGGACATGAAGCCTTGGTCAGCCTCCATGGGGAGGAAGCTCCCGCTGGCCTATGCCCAGGCTGAGGCCAGCAGACCCAGCGAGGGAGGAGCGTCCAGCACCCAGCTCACCGTACTGACTGGCGTCGAAGCAGGTGAAGGGTGAGCCCAGGACTTCCACAAAGTAGCCCATGCTGCGCAGGTGCTGGTACATGTCCCTGAAGTTCGTGTGGATGTGGTCGCCGTTCCTGCAGGGCGACAGGCCGGGGGTGGCATGAAAAGCCATCGTCAGCCAGAGGCCAGTTCACGGCTGAAAGCTGGTCTTGCCAGCCTGCTGTCTCTGGGTCGGATGTGTGAGATCAGCAATGGCCGGGAACTGTGTGTCCAGTGAGGAAGCAGAGCTCTCGTGCCCACTGTCAGGAAGCACCCACCCAGGACCGCCCAGCATAGCCCTTGGCTGACCGCTTCCCCCAGCTACCCAGAGGCCTCCTTCCTCCTCCAAATCAGGCTTGTCCTCCTGTGCCATCCATGTCCAGCAGGGGTCAGTGCCTCCGCTGCCCGCCCCAGCTGCCCGCCTGCCAGAGCCCTGGGGCCGCACCAGTCCAGGGGGTCGTTCTTCATGCGCAGGTTGTCCCTGGGGAAGTAGCCGGGGGGATAACGCAGGTTGTGGTACTGGTCCCAGAGCACACGCTTGCTCCGCGGCGGCGTGGGGATGATCTTCACCTTGATGGGCAGCTTGACCGTGGATGTTTGCTCGGCACCGCTCTTGGACTGGAGAAGAAGAGGCGTTGCCAACAGTGGCCCCACCCCCCACCCGGGGCAGAAGGGGCGTTCAGGCTCCGGGGTGGAAGGGTCCGCTGGGATTAGCAACCCAAAGTCACTGCCGCTCAGGCTGGCGCACTCACAAGGGGTCCTGCGGGTTGGGCCGGCCCTTCCTGGCCTCCACCCACTGCCACCTAAGCGGGCGGGGCAGGGAAGAACTGCTCACGGGCTCCCCACACGTCACTCTCTACGGGGCAGAAAGCTGTCTTTTCCCGTCCGTTGCAGTCAGCAGGCCGTCAGGTAACCACTGCGCACCAGGGCTGCTCCGTCTCCTCCTGCAGCCCTAGCGCTAGCCCCTTCCCGTCTCCTCCCAGGGGTCGCCGTCGGGGACCACCACCCGGAGCCGACAACCTGCCCTAGCTCCCTCGGCAGCAGTCAGGAAAGGGCACTCCTGGGGCCGGCCATGGCACGGAGACCGCAGACCTGGCTGAGAGCCCTGCTTACCTCCACATCTGCCGGGGAGGACACGGTGACCATGACGTGGCCCTGGGCGATGCCCTCCCAGGACGCAGCCTTCTTGGTGACAGAAATGGAGATGGCCAGGTAGCCTGACCAGGGCCAGAGCACCGAGGAGTAGGAGAAAGCCACCTCCATGTTGTCCCCGTTCTGCGGCAGGTAGGGCTGCCAGTCCGGCTGCAGGGGTGGGGAGAGACCAGGCAGGCTGAGGGGGAGCGCCCATGGCGAGGATCCTTGGGGGCAGCTCTGGAGTTGGGGCCATGTTCCTCTGGGAACTGCTGCCAACCATGGGCTCTGACAGACTCTACTCCGGTGCTAGCAAGCGGGAGGGCTGTCTGTCTGTCTGTTGGAGCAGGCAGACAGACTGACGAGAGGAGAAATGCTGGTTTGAGAACTCGCCTGAAACTGGAAAGGAACAAACACCCGCTCAGGCGCCAGGTCCCCTCGGCTGAAAAGCGTGAAGAGCCACGTTGACCGAGAGGAAGGTGGTGGATGCAAACTACCCTCAGCCAAGTTTCAAAGGCAGAGGCGGGGTAGATCATGGTCACTGAGCCCAGAGAAGGAGGGCCACCGCTGCCCGCTCAGCCTGGCAGGGGTCTGAGGAAGGCAGACAACAGCATCCAAGCACAGACCTTTCTGGAAGAAAACAGGTGGGCACTTGCCATGGGTCGGTGTTTCAACCTGCCTACGCGTCAAGCAGACCCTTCCAAGCTGGTCAGCATGTTGGAGGAGGAAGGGGGAGACTAGGAGGAGGCAGGGGGGAGGGATCGAGCAAGGAGGGTGCTCAGTAGATGCTTTGGGGTGAGCAGTGAGCAGGGAGACCAGGGCAGCTCTCCCCCACCTCAGCCCACAGACCCGGATGGCGACGGCAGCCGGCAGGGTGAGCTGTTTAACAAGCCTCTGAGGGAGACTCAGGAGGTGGAACTGAGCCTGTGCTCCACACCGCAGGGACTCCTTTCCAACGTTTGAAACAAGATCGAGAGAGGAGACACGCAGCTGTATGGAAAAGTCAACTCTCAGGCAGCCACCAAGAAGTCTGTGAACCTCCCCAAGAGCTGATCCTGAAGGGGAGGGAGGCTCACAATCAGGAGGAGCCAATGGGGGATCTGGGGGCCTTGCTTGCCCTGGCAGGGAGAGCCCCACCCCAGAGGGAGGAGAAAATTCACACAAGATGAAACCGTGGTGAACAAGCCCAAAGACAGTGGTGAACACGCCCAAAGAATCAATCAATCAATCAATCTCTCTCTCTCTCTCTCTCTCTCACTCACACACACACACACACACACACACACACACACACACACAGATGTTAATGAGGCAGGAAAGCCATTGCTGCTTCTTGGTGAGCGATGATGTGCCAGAATGCTCACCACCAGACGTGTTTAAAGAGGGTGAGGTGTGTGCCCAGCAAGGGTCACCCGTGGCTGGAGTCCATTCCGACTCCGGGCGACTCTGCAGGACAACGGGAGGGAGAACGGCCATGTTGAGTTTCTAAAGAAGATTGTCACCCTTCTGGAAGCCGAATGACTCCTCCTCTCTTGTGAAGCCCCTGCCCTGCCCCCCCCCACCTGATTAGCAGCCACGGACCCCTTGGGGACACGTACATCTAACCAAAGGAACCGCACCCAGGGACACTGGGTGCAGCCCACCTGGGCAGCCCCTAGCGTGTACATGGTAGCAGGCATCTTAGTCCTGTGGTTACTGTGAGCTGTGGAACCAACGTCACTCAGGGCATCCCCATGGGGCAGCAGAACTGCCCCCAGAGCTGCCTGGCTGCCACCAGCAGGTACAGTCACTGGGTCTCTGCCCCTCAGGGGGCTGGTGGGTTCCACCCACATCCCTTTCTGTGGTCAGCCGGGTGCGCCAAAGGACAAAGCATGGAATTTGGGACACTGTGGACCACCGATCTGGGAGGCTGAAGAAGCCAGGCACAAAGACCACCCTCCCGTGACCCCAAAACCCAGCATGATCAGTGGAGACACCCCTCTGTGCACAGCAGTCAGGGCCAAAGCGGGGGTGGAGGGGGAGCCGTGGGAGGTCTTAGAGGGGTCATGACCAATCTCTGAAATCGGCCAGGGGTTGCACAGCTCTGTGAGAGAAAAGCTTTTAGGCTTCCAAAGTTGATCCTGTGAGCTACTACCCAACTCCAAACGAGACGAAACCACCGGAGTGTGAAAACAAAGTGGGTTCAGGGCGTGCCTCCCGCTTGGCCATCAGGCTGTGCCGGGCTCCGTTCTAGCGCTCGGCCCGAGGACCCGATCCCGGGACGTGGTGGGCAGTGTATCGAGTCAGCAGCACTGAGGAGTGGACGACCAGCCTGCTACTGGGGAAGCAGCCTCATGAATCAATCAGGAGCTTTGCGGGCGAATGTTTACAGGGCTCGGTGTGGCCGGGGACGTATCTTCATGACAAGCTAAAATGGCAAGCTTGGACCCTGGCGGGTGGGTGGGATGGGACAGGTGAAGAGACCAGGGCCTTGGAGCGGCTCTTTGGTTCTTCTGTTCGATCCTTCCTCGTGCTAATGCTCAGGCCATGAACTCAAGGAAAGACAGTGGGGGATTTAGAGGCCAGACTCTCCATCCCAAACAGGTAGGCCTTTCTGAGGGAAACCAGAGTTGAGAAGGAAGCTGGCCCCCGGTGGCAGAAAAGGTAGCTCTCGGCATCCCTCGGCCCCACCGACAGGACTCATGGCCTGGCCATCATGGGAGGAGCAGAGCAGCCACTCACCTTGTCCACGATCCTGCCGGTGACCCCCATGCCATTGAGGATGGTGACATTGACAATCGTTGGCATGCCTCCGTAGTAGATGGGCTGTGAGCAGTAAGGCCACATGTAGGGACACTCGGTCAGGTCGATGTAGCTAGGACTCAAGCTGAAGGAGAGTGGCCACATCTGAGCCGGCGACTACACACTGAGGCCTCACCCGGCTGCCCAGCGACACACGGGCCTGCCTGCGGGCTGCCCTGGGCTGGTGGCTGCGCGTGTGGCTTCGGGACACACTGCCTCCCCGCCGCCCCTCCCCAGCCACCTGGACCAAAAGGTCTAAGTTTGTTTGGGGTGTGGCAGTGAGTGCACAACCAGGCCTGGTGACCACGCTACCTCATGGGAGACCCCTGGGCAGACATAGCACGTGTGAGGGGTGTACTGTGTCTGCGACCCCACCCCAAGGGGGCAGTGGGGAGGGCAGCCTGGAGATGGCCTCCAGTGGTGAAAGCACCACGCAGGCCCGGGGCAGCTGGGGCAGCACTACGGGGCGGACACATGCCCTCCACACAAGGCGGCAGGGAGGGCTCATGGGAGCCACTGGAGGAGCTCTGTCGACTGCTGACGAGCCACCTGGCACCTGGACTGCTCCAGGAACCACCCACCCTACACTGGGCCCCTGCTTGGGGGTGGGGAGGGCGGCTGGAACACTACTCTCTGCACTAGGGTGGGACATTTCCATGAGCTCAGCCATGTGAACAGAGAAGTGGCAGGCATGTGATCCCTTCTCCATGCATCCCGGAACTGAGGGCCCTCAGTGGGAGGGAGGGAGAAAGAGAGGGAGGGAGGGAGGGGGCGGCCCCACCTGGCCTGGGGCCGGTAGCTGTTGAGGATCTGGTACGCTCGCAGCAGGTCCAGCTTGCCATGGCCTTGCTCGAACATGTTGACGCCAGGGAGCCGCCGGGCGGAGGCGATCAGGGCCTGTTTCACACTGGCCGGGTTCACCAGCTCCCGCTTCTGGACCGTGCTGGGGAGCAGAGCAGTCGCTAATCATGTCTGAGCAAGGCGTTGAACGTGGGGCTGCTGTTCCCTAGCCTGCAAGGAGCGATGTGGGGCCAGGAGGCCCAAGTCGGGCCCAGAAGGTATCCCAGGGGGCACATGGGGGCAAGGAGGGTCTGTCCTCAGGCTCCAGCTAAAGGCTCCCTCCAAAGGCACAGGCAGATGTGGAGGCCTGGGCGTGAGGAGCCCCCTGGTGGACACAGCGTTAACGGCCTGGAGGGCCTGGTCACTGGCTGGCCTGAGCCACCAGGGAGTCTCCTGGCGTCCACTCTGCACAGGCACCATCACCAGGGTAGCCTGTGTGTGTGAGTGCGTGTGCATGAGTGCACATGCGTGTGTATCAGAAACACAGCATCACGAGCAGATCAGTAACCCGTCAGCGCTACTCCCCAGACGCAAAGAAACCCCTCACTGGGCGCACAGGGGAACTCTCCCCCCAGTTCTTGCAACATGGCGCCTGGGGGTGGGGGCCGGGATAGGCCTCTAGCAGGTCTGGAGCAGTGGCTGACGTCAGGGAAGTTGAGAGGGGTCAAGGGGGAGATTCTTCTTCTGTTGTACAGTTTGGAACAAAGTTCACAGAGCAAATGCATCTTCCCGCCAACGGTCCAAATGCGTACATTGGTTTGTGACACTGGGTGCAAGCCCCTGCCATAGCGGCCCTCCCCTCACTTCCTCCGGCCACCTCAGGAGGTCTGGGCTGAGGGCTGCCTGTGGCTGGTGGCTGGCTGCCCCAGGAGCTTGCACCTCCCGCACCAGGCCCGTCTGCTGCTTGGCTCCTTGGTGACAAGCCTTGGAGTGCTTTTAAGGTGGCCCAGGGCCAGAGTCCTGGGGTCCCACCAATCTCTTACAAGTCGCCTTTGGAATTTTGCTGTAAGTTTTCTACTGGGGTTGGCTCTTCATGGGCGGTTCAACAACCGAGCAAAGCTTAGCTCTGGAGCTGCGACCTGCCCCTCTGGGCTCATAAATCAGGTCAAAGGTCAGCCTCAGCTTCCTGACTGGTGTGCTCAGCCAGGCGCTGAGGAAGTGTGCTCTCCCCACAGAACATCTGTCTACAGATGGCCACAGGTGCTGCTCCTTGGTGCTAGGGACACCGGCGGGGGTGGGGGCCTCACCTGCCCACAAGCATGGTCCTGAGAAGGGGACCTGCATATCCCGTCTCCAACACGTCGCATCTCTCCGGCTGGCCTGCCGGCCTGTGCGCAGCACACACCGCTCTCCCCGTGGGCCGAGGAGAACAAGTGGAGGAGGAGGGAGACCAACTATCTGAGCCCCCTGGTTGGGCCAGGGCCACAGTGTTGGGGAAGGGCAGGAGGGCCAAGGGGGAAGCGCAGCTGGCTTTATCAAGGTGGCTACTGTGGACGGGAGCTCAGGCCCTCGAAGTCATGAAAGCGAAAGTGTTAACTTCACTGGCTTTTAAAGGGAGCATCTCTGTCCACCACCCAAAGCTGTAGGTCCCCTTACATGTGACCTTGAACTCAGGATGAGGAATAGTGACTTTGAAACGTTCCCCACCACACATCAGGCAAGCACAGCCCCGAGACTGGGACAAAGCTCTGACCCCGGGGCCGAGCTGTGTGTCCCGCCCCAAGCTGTCCTGTTGGGGAGAGGGGCTTCCCGCTGCAGGCAATGAGTGGGGCCCGCTGCCGCCTTGTTGCCCACGTGAGAAACAGGAAGAGAGACAGAGCCACAGCCAGTTACTCAGAGAGGACAAGGCCTGCTCACGGCACCGAGACAAGCCATGACAGGGAAGCACCGAGCAAACACCCAGCCAGGGTTCCTGTCTCTGACGGGGGTCCACTCGCCGGCAGCACCCACCTGACCAGCAGGGTGACGGCGCCCGCCACCACCGGAGAAGCCACGCTTGTCCCCGACAGGGCCCGGCAGCCCCCTTTCACGCCAGAGCCCCGCACGCCAGCACCATAGGTGACAATGTCAGGCTTCACTCGACCGTAACCGCCTGGGAGTTCCTGTGAAAGAGAGCAGCCTGGTGACGGCATGCTGTGCCGCACTGTGATGTGGTGCGGTGCAGCGCAGCCGGTGGTCTGCTCCCAGAGGGCCACTGGGCTGGGCCGGAGCACCACTGTGACTCGGAACACATTTAAAAATGACGCTCAGGAACTTGTCCTTTATGGTGGGTTTCACAAAAACCAAAGAGACCCGGTTGCACGGTGGGTTAAGCGGGGCTGATACCTGCACAACCAGCAGTTCAAGCCCCCCAGCCGCTCCAGGGGAAAGGGAGGCTGGTTGCTCCTGCATGGAATTGCAGCCTCCAAAGCCCTAGGGAGCAGTCAGCAGTTCTACTCTGTCCCTTAGGAGTAGCATGAATCAGATCAGCTCGAGAGCAGTGGGGTTTGGGTGGGTTTTCCATGGCCTCTGTAACAGCAAGTCCTGAAGGCAATTGAGTATTTTTCTCCAACTTACCTCTAAGTAAACGAAATGCTTGACACATTAGGAACACTGAAAACCAGAAAGGGAATAGTTTCTTCACAAAGAAACCAAGGACAGGCGCAGCTGCCCCAGCGGGAGAGAGGGCCCCCTGGAAGGAGGGAGGATGAAGGCATCATAGGTGAGCCTGGGGGGCGGGACCGGCGGCTCCCAAGCTTCCTGGAAACCAAGGTCAACAACTAGCTCTTCTCCTCTGAGCCCTTCCTATGCTACCAGACAAGAGCCAGCATCAACCTGAGTGATCTCGGAGGCCTCCTCTGGAAATCACATCTGGAGGGGACCACAGGGAAGACAACATGGAGGCAATGCTTCAGCATGTTCAGGACCTTTCTGGCAGGCCACTTGGACAAGAGTGCCCACACAGGGAGCTGTGGGTGCCTGTGGGCTCGGGGAGGAGCTGTCTGATGGACAGAGGGAGGTGCGGACA